CTCTCACCGTCACTGCCTCACCGTCCCCGCTCTCACCGTCACTGCCTCACCGTCCCCGCTCTCACCATCACTGTCTCACCGTCCCCGCTCTCACCGTCACTGCCTCACCGTCCCCGCTCACACCGTCACTGCCTCACCGTCCCCGCTCTCGCTGTCACTGCCTCACCGTCCCCATCTCACCGTCACTGTTTCACCAGCCCACGCTCGATCCGCCGTCGCTGCAGGACACAACCCGCGCGTTCAGCTCCTGCCACGTGGTTCCCAGTCTTGAACCAGCTCCTGCCCAACTCCTTAGGTAGGTAGTTAAAAGGGGTTGGGGGGATGGAATTACTACTGAGGGAGGGAGAAGAAGGGTGAAGAAAAAGGACAGACAAAGAAAACAACGGAGCGACTTACCCTGCCACCATCTTGCTGGATGAAATTTGGCAACTTATATTCAAGACTGTACCGACAGAAACTAACAAGTGTTGGAGTGAAGAAGAATTTCACTGAAAGCTACAGTTTAGATATTTCATTCCTAGTACCAGAAACATTGAGTTTATTAAAGCACCAAATATCTCTTCTACCATGCAAGCCATTCCACCAGAGATGTATATTTCCCGATCATCCAATGACAGTGATATTGGAGTTGTTGGGAGAGGCAATGGCCCAGTGGTATTATCGCTGGACTGTTAATCCAGAGACCAAATAACATTCTGGGGACCCGGGTTTGAATCCTGCCATGGCAGATGGTGGAATTTGAATTCAATAAATATCTGGAATTAAGAATCTAATGATGATCCATGAATCCATTGTTGATTGTTGGAAAAACCCATCTGGTTCACTAATGTCCTTTCGGGAAGGAAACTGCCATCCTCACCTGGTCTGGCCTACATGTGACTCCAGACCCACAGCAATGTGGTTGACTCTGAACTGCTCTATGGGTAATTAAGGGTGGGCAATAAATGCTGCCTTGCCAGTGATGCCCTCATCCTGTGAGTGAATAAAGGAAAAAACAGTTTCCATCAATGAATCTGCAATAGACTGAATATATGGCGGAATTAAGATAAAGCTTGTAACAAAACTTACACATGAGGAAATGGAGAACATGGCAGAGTTTAAAGAACAGATCATGGAAATCTCACTGAAATGATTTGTGCACCAAATTTTCTAGCCACATGGGACCAGCCAACACCAGCGATACATCAATAGTGGTACTTGTCCCTATTGTTCCTGTACCTGACTGTCCAAACTGTGGATAGTGCAATCCCAGCACCATCTGTAAGCCCCACCAAACCTTGAGGCTACCTATTATTTTAGAACCCTGAAGGACAGAGAAACTATATTCCAGAGAATGGGGTTTATTTAGGGTCAGTTCTTCTGGAATGTTGGATGGATGATGGATTCCTTTGCACAGCTCGCTGTAGGCTGTCTCATCCTCATTCCCTTTTTGCTACCAATTGCAGTCACTATTTCTGGAATAAACCAGAGCAACACCCGATTTGGAGGGGAACAGTCAAGTTTGCAAGACCTTTATGTGGGCCTGCTCGCATTCCTGGCCAAAGTGGTATTTAAATAAGTACAGATTGGACTTGGCCTGGTGCAGTTGCAAGGATAGGTGTTTTACCACTGTCTGCTCTCCTGAATTCTATGGGCCTTGGAAAAGGTGTACTTGCTAATGGCTTATAGGACTATATTCACTAGAGTTTAGAAGAGGTAGGGGTCAGCAATCTCATAAATACCTTTAAAATTCAAACAAGACTAGACAGAGTAAATGCAGGAAGGATGTTAACCATGGTCAGGGAGTACAGAACCAAGGGTCACATTCCAAGGATATGGGGTAGACCATTTAGGGCTGAGATGAGGAGAAATTTCTTCACCTGTAAAGTGGTGAGCCCGTGGTATTTTCGGAAGAGCCAGCCCATCACGAAAACCAGGCTTCCTTCCATTGACTCCGTCTATACTTCCCGCTGCCTTGGGAAAGCAGCCAACATAATCAAAGACCCCTCCCACCTCAGTTATACTCTCTTCCACCCTCTTCTATCAGCAGAAGATACAAAAGTTTGAAAACACGTACCAACAGATCTTAAAACAGTTTGTTCCCCACTGTTATCAAACTTAGGAATGGACCTCTCATATATTAGAGTTGATCTCTCTTCGTACCTTCTCTGTAGTTGTAACACTATATTCTGTATTCTGTTCTATTACCCTGATGTACTTGTGTAAGGTATGATTTGTCTGGTTAGCACAGAAAACAATAGTTTTTATAGTACCTTTGAACATGTGACAATAATAAATCAAATCAAATCAAATCAGGTTGAGGTCAAAGGATTGAATGTTTTCAAGAAGGAGTTAAATATAGTTCTTAAATCTAAAAGGATCAAAGGGTATGGGGGTGAAAAGCAGGAACAGGGGATTGTTTTGGATGATTGGCCATGATCGTATTGAATGGTGGAGCAGGCTGAGTAACCTACTCCTGTTCCTATTTTCTATGTTTCTATGTCTAGCAATACATTTGAGGCTTTCTGCAAATAGTGACCAGTGCAGGTATTGGAGTCTCAAGTGGATACTAGAGAAAATATTTTTATTCCGTTGAAAGTTTTCTTCCTCCTTTATGGTTAGGGTCCTTATTAGTTGTGCCCCCTTTAAAAAGGAGTTTGTGGGTGGGGGCGGGGCACATTATTTCTCTTGAGTTGATGCCCTTGAGGCCTCAACATATTGATCTGATTGTTTTAATATTGTCTCTTAACAGACTTCCAGGTCATCAAAGAAGAATGCTGCCTTCGGCAAGAGGTCAAACTCAATGAAGAGGAATCCAAAAGCCAATGTTCTAAAAAGTGGCTGGTTGTTTAAGCAGGTACAGTATAACTCCTGTCTGACTAACAGAGCAGTGGGGAGAAATTTGGGTACAGTGGCACAAACTTGCTCTGCAGTGACAGTCTATTTAAAATAAATGTAGATAGCATTTGGTATTGCAAGATCTGAATTTGCAGAAACATTGGTACAGGACATTGGTTTTGGAATACTGCATTCAATTCTGGCCTCCCTGCTATAGGAAAGATATTGTTAAACTTGAAAGGTTGCAGAAAAGATTACAAGGATGTTGCCAGGATTAGAGGGTTTGAGCTTTAGGGAGGGGCTGAATAGGCTGGGGCTATTTTCCCTGGAGTGTCAGATACTGAGGGGTGACCTTATAAAAATCATGAGGGGCATAAATAAAGTGAATAGCCAAGGTCTTTTTCCAAGGGTAGGGGAATCCAAACCTAGAGGGCATAGGTTTAAGGTGAGAGAGGAAAGATATAAAAGGTACCTAAGGAGCAACTTTTTCACGCAGTGGGTGGTGCATTTATGGAATGAGCTGCCAGGCGAGGTGGTGGAGGCTGGTACAATTACAACATTTAAAGAACATCTCGATGGGTACATGAGTAGGAAAGATTTAGACGGATATGGGCCACATGCTGTAAAATGGGTCTAGATTAATTTAGGATATCTAGTTGGCATGGACAAGTTGGACCGAAGGGTCTGTTTCCTTGCTGTACAACTCTATGACTGTATAACATGACACACCTTGTTGCACCTTTTCATCTTACACTGGCCAGGAAACTTCACAAGATTACCAATTCAAGGGGAAAACCAATATTTCCACCACACGTCAGAAGAATGCTGGTAGCCAAGTGGCCTCTGATTGGTACGGGTGTTGCTAGAAGAATGCAGCCATTAATATTGGTTGACAGTTAACTGCCAAGACTCGTTCAGAGTTTAAAGCAGGCTGGTTGACACTGACTGGTTAGGGAATTATCTTGAGAAATCAACCAGGGAATGACTGTCATCTATTTTGTTGAATTGAAACAGATGCAATGTGATTACCTCAATCAGATAGTAAGAACTGCTGATGTTGGAGTCAGAGATAACACAGTGTGGAGCTGGATGAACACAGCAGGCCAGGCAGCATCAGAGGAACAGGAAAGCTGACATTTCAGGTCGGGACCCTTCTT